TACCTGTGTGTGTGCCCATGTGTACCTGTGTGTGTGTGTGTGTGCCTGTGTACCTGTGTGTGTATCCCTGTGTACCTGTGTGTGTGCCCATGTGTACCTGTGTGTGTGTGTGTGTGCCTGTATACCTGTGTGTGGGTGCCCACAGATGTTCAAGGAGTCAGGTCCCCTGGATCTGAAGTTACAGGTGTCACTGAGTCAGATGGTGTGACTGTGAACTCCCAGCCTCTGCAGGAGTAATACACTCTTAATCACTCCCCAGATCTTCAATATTTTTCTTTCTTTCTTTTTTTTTTTTTGGTTTTTTGAGACAGGGTTTATCTGTGTAGCCCTGGCTGTCCTGGAACTCACTCTGTAGACCAGGCTGGCCTCGAACTCAGAAATCTGCCTGTCTCTGCCTCCCAAGTGCTGGGATTAAAGGCGTGAGCCACCACTGCCCAGCAATTTTTTTCATTTCTATTTTTAGACTTTTTGTTTTATTTTTTTGTGTATGATGTTTTGCTCACACATACGTCTGTGCACCATGTGAATGCCTGGTGCCCAAGGAAATCGGAAGGAGGCAGTGGGTTTCTTGGAACTGGAGTCATGGACTATTGTGGGCTACCATGTGAGAATGTCGAATGCAACTGGGAGCCTCTGGAAGAAAAGGTGCTCTTAATTCATGAGCCATCTCTCCAGGTCCCCTTTAAAACACTTATTTTAGTTTTAGTTATGTAATTGTGTGTGTGTCCGTGTTTGGGTATAAAGATGTATGAGGGCAAATATCTAAGGGGTCCTGGAATAGTCATCAGCTCTCTAGGAGGGAGAGATACAAGCGATTAGGAACCATCTATAAGGATTCTTAACTGCTGAGCCATCTCTACAGCTCTTGTTTTCAATTCTCTGAATAGGAGGACAAGAACATAGAAATTGATGCTAATCCCATGTGGTGGTTTGAATATGGTTGGCCCATGGAAAGTGGCACTATTAGGAAGTATGGCCTTGTTGGAGGAAGTATGTCATTGTGGGGGTAGGCTTGGGGTCCTATCCTCAGGCTCTGCTCAGTACAAAAGAGGCTTCACCCTAGCTTCCTGGAAGCCAGTCTTCTCCTGGTTGCCTTCAGAACAAGATGTAGAACTCTTAGCAACTCCAGCTCCATGCCTGCCTGGACACTGCCATGCTTCCTGACATGATGATAATGGACTGAGCCTCTGAACCTATAAGGCAGCCCCAATTAAAAGCTATCTTTTATAAGAGTTGCCTTGGTCATGGTGTCTCTTCACAGCAATGGAAACCCTAAGACATCCCATCTACCAGTAACAAACTCCCACCTTGTTATATTTTTTTGAGTCTCATGTAACCTAAGCTGGACTCAAACCCATGACAATTACCCGCTTCAGTGGCCCAAGTGCTAAGATTACATATGTGAACTACCATACTCATTAAGAGTGAGTGTGTATCTGTCTGTCTGTTTGTCTGTCTGTCTCCTTCCCTCCCTCCCTGTCTCTCTCCGCCCCTTCCCTCCCCCACTGCTGTAGAGATGGCTCAGTAGTTAAGAGTACTGACTGCTCTTCCAGAGGTCCTGAGTTCAATACCCAGCAACCACATGGTGGCTCACAACTATCTGCAATGGGGTCTGATGCCCTCTTCTGGTGTGTCTGAAGACAGCAATACATACATTAAATAAATAAATAAATAAATAAATAATTTTTTTTAAAAAAAGAGTCTTTCTTTTCATCTATCTATATGCATATACATAAAATAAATAAATAAATCTTTTTTTTTTAAAGTCTTGGCCGGGCAGTGGTGGCGCATGCCTTTAATCTCAGCACTTGAGAGGCAGAGGCAGGAAGATTTCTGAATTCGAGGACAGCCTGGGCTATAAAGAGAAACCCTGTCTTGAAAAACCAAAATAAATAAATAAATAAATAAATAAATAAATAAATAGTCTCTCTCTTTTCATCTCTATCTATCTATCTATCTATCTATCTATTGATCTATCTATCTATCTATCTATCTAGTTAGATTAAACCTAGGACCTGATGATATATGCTAGACAAGTGCTCTACCACTGAACTATTTCATCAGTCAATTTTTATACTTTTGAGATAAGAAAAAAAAAGCCTAATCTGTCCTTGAACTCACTGGGTAGCCCAAGTAGGCCTTGAACTTGTAATCCTCCTGCCTCATCCTTTCAAGTAGCCAAGATTATAGGCTTGTACCATTACTTCTGGCAAGAGGAGCTATGTGGCTATGTGTTATAAAAATCTTTGACCTTCTAAGGGATGTGAGTTTTTTCTGGACCTCACAGCCAGAGTTAATAATATGCCTTGAAGTCACTTAAGAACATAGATATCCTGCTGTGTGCTCAGCCTGTTGGTTTAACCTTCCTTTAAGAGAACAATGTTAACAACCAACCTTACTTGCCTTGGATTCCTATGTAATCAACACTTACATTCTAAGCTAATGCATAGCTGTAATCTTCAATTATGTACTCCTCCATGTCCCTGACCCAGAGTAACATGTCTGTGTGGCCTAATGATCATTTGCTGAATATGGCAAAGATATAGACTGGAAGCAATCTTATAAAATGAATATTCACCATAAATGTTGTACACACTATTTAGGTAATGCTTGATAAACAGTGATGTTTATAGTACAGAGTGTTATCTGGGTCAGCTGGAGTCTGTGACAAGTGTCCCATTCCTTCCCCATGGGATGCTTCATGTGATGTTCCATGAAGACAGAGCAAAGCCCTTTGCCAGGGACAGATACATACAGACATATTCACACAGACTTAGACACAGATTCACAAGACAGCTTTCAGGCAGGCACAGATTCAGACTCAAACAACGGACAGACAGAAAGATGGAAGACACAGGGAATAAAAGCGGAGAACACAAATCTGAGCTTGCTCTTCATTAAAGACACTAAGAGGAAGTATTATGGGGTTAGTGATCCCTGGGGAAAGACCATACAGTCAATGGCATAGACTCAATCCAATTACAATAGAAAGACTTATTGACAAACTGCCAGGAGGATGGACAATCTCTGAGCCAAATTTGAGATTGCCGTGAGAAGGGAATTGAAGGAAGAAACTTTAAAGGGGAAAACCACAAGAAGACCTCCAGCATTTATGAACACAAGCAAAAACTGATCTGTTCTGCCAAGTTAAGTAGTTAAGGCAACTAGAAACAAGTATCTGCATAAGAAAGTTACAGAAGCAAAAAAGCTTCTGTACAGTCACAGCTGCACATTCTGGGATACAGCTCATTCAGTCAGGGTAACTGGGAACTCATCTTAAAGGGTATTCAGGAACCAATCAAGATGATCAAGATCTTGAGCCTACATCCTTGTCCTAGCCTAAGGTCAAATTCCTGTCAAATTTCTAGAAGGCGCTCTCCACATTCCCTAAAGCTAGAAAGGAATCTGAGTTTCCCCCCCAAAACCCCCAAAAAGAAATGAATGTTCAGAGACCATCATGATGTCTCAAGCGTGTGATCCCAGAACATGCCATGATAAGGTAGGACCACTGCTATACATCTGAGGTCACACTAAGACCTTGGTAAGTTTCAAGATAGCTTGGGATACAGTTTAAGACTTCGTTTCAAAACAAAACCACCTGGTACCCATTAATTAGTACATTCAAAATTTGTCTTTATGTATCAATAAAATTGAAAAAAAATAAAAATGAAAGACTGTGTCCTAGTTTGCTTTTTATTGTTGTGATAAACATCATGACCAAAAGCAACTTGACAAAGGATTTATTTGATCTTTTCTTTGATCTTTTTGCTTTTTTGAAACAGTCTCTTTATATATTCATGGCGGTCCTGGAACTCACTATGTAGACCAGGCTGGTCTTTAACTCACAGAGATCCTTCTGCCTTGTGGTCTATGTGCTGGGACTAAAGGCTTGTGCAATCACACCCAACCTGGATTTACTTAATCTTACAGGTTACAGTTCATAATAAAGGGAAGGCAGGGCAGGAACTCAAGGCAGGAACCCAGAGACTGGAGCTGACTGTCTGAGAGAGTACATAGTGCTTTCTCCTTCGGCTCACATTCAGTTTGCAAAGGTAGCAGAGCCCACAGTGGGCTGAGCCTTTCCAGATCAGTCATTAACCAATAAAATGCTAACAGACTGCCTTATAGGCCAGTTCACTGAAAGTAACTACTCAATTTACATTCCCTCTTCCCAGATGAATCTAGCCAGCATCAAGCTGGAAAAAAAAAAAAAAAAAAGACAACAACTAACCAGCATAGACTGAAAGTATAGAATAAACGAACAACTTTTAAAAATATATATACGTGTAAAACCAGACCAGGAGCTGGTGTCACCGCTGTTTCTCCAATTTGAGTTCCTATACCTGAAAATTAGCTACCTTACCTTGCCTTCTTTTATCTCTATTGTTTAGGCTCCAAAAATGTGAAAAGCTATGGGAAAACTAAAGATTAGATTCCCCCTCCTCTCTACTGAAAATCGAATTCTAAAATTTAGGTTTGAATATAAAGATTCCACTAGATCTTTAAACAAAAGGTAACTTAACTGTATTGTCAGGAAGAGTCCCGGACACCAGGAGTGAAAGAGCAGGTCTGCAATCTTAGTACTTGGAAATCTGAGGCAGGGGATATAATGAGTTGAACGCTCCACAGGCCTTCGTAGCAAGATTTTTCCCAGAAAGAAACGAAAATAGAAGAGAAGAAAAATAAGAGAAAAGTAAAGAAGAAAAAGAAAGAGAAAAGAACGGGGGGGGTGGGTGGGGGGGAGAGAGGGAGCGGCGCCCTCTGCCTCCCGGTTTATGTGTCAGCCAATTACGAAGTCCCTTAGCAGGACACTCATGCGCGGCTCGTTTGAGGGCATATAGAAGCTAAAGGAGGCGGGGCTAGTTCCCTAATCCAAGATGGCCTAAGAGGTGCTTCTAGAGGGAGGTGCAAAGGCTAATAATGCCATTGGTGGAATTACGGCTGCTTCACAGTGGGAGGGAATGACAGCATCCCAGTTTCCGGTTCCGGCAGTACCGGGATCCCAGTGGAGATGGAGGAAGATGCGAACCGAGTCTGGCTGTCGCTGGGACTGGAGAGTAGCGCGGGGGCTACGGTCTAGGAGTCCCAATCTCAGACGCGGCTGAACCGCCAGGGTCTGAGAAGGTAAGCGACTACGGTGCTTGGGTGCCTTGAAGGATCAGAAGTACCTAAGGTTCAACTTGTCGAGGAGGCAGCGGATATCTGTCTGCTCTGCGGGGCTGCATCGCCATGGGAAGCCGCTCTGCAGTTTTGACAACGAAAGGCAAGTCCCCCAAGGCATCTCATCCTGGCAGAGGAGCGTGAGAGACTGACAGCTAGAGAAGCATGGCGAGGGGCATGCCCGAGGACCCTGAATTGGCCGTGCAAAAGCCAGACAGAAGGTGCATAAAGGAGGGTGTCACGTGGAGTATGTGGAGGGGATTGTCATGTGGTGTGTGTGATGAGAGATCACGTGGAAATCTATTGACGACAATGAAGACTAGGTGGGAACCTCACCATGCCGGAGGGAGGAGGGTGTCTTAGATTGGGAGGTGACATAGTCAGGACATAGAGAAGGGCAATGAATAGTTGCCCTTCAATGGACAGGTGTTCCCTCGTACAGTTACATTCACATTCATGTGGGTGACAGCTCCCAGAATGCAGAGCCTGAAGTAGAAAGAAAAGAGAGTGCTGGGAAGTATTCGTTCTGTCCGAGAATTACAGCCCCTAGGTGTCTGGTCAGGAGTTGACTATCGCACGGTGACCTGATGGGGTGGGAGTGGCTGACCAAAAAGATTGGAATGGACCAGTTAGTCACAATTGTGTCCGTGTCCAAGGCTGGAATCAGAGGGCTCCTAATCTGGTCCTAATGATGTTGGACTCTGAAAATAGTTCTAATTCTTATAAAACTGACAAGCTCGAATAGGTAAAGGAATGCCTCCCACATTTTGACAATCTGTATAAATCATCTAGAGATGTTTGAGTGTTATTTCTTAATCAACAGGTTTATAGTATGGCCTGAAATCCCACCGGACCCCAAGACAGGGTCTTACTGTGTAAACCAGGCTGACCTTAAACTCCTGTTTCTCTTGCCTCAGCCCCCTTGTGCTAGGGTGACAGACAATGCCACCACACCTGGCTCTGCTCACATATAGGGAACTATAATGTCCATGCCATCTGTAGCCCGCTCTGGCTGGTGAGGATTTAGAGCATCCCTGCTCAGTAGAACTTTGTGCAGTAAGAGAAATACTTTACTGTTAACAGAACACTTCCACAGTTATCAACTCCAAGGACCAATGATCTAGTCCATTTGGTAGAGTGTGCATAGCATGCAGGAAGCCCTTGGCTTCTACCCAGTGCTGAATAAACCAGGCAAGGGTTATCCTGGCTCACATCTGTAATCTCTGCATTTAGGAATTGCAGATAAGAGCCTCAGGAGTTCAAGGCCAGGCTAGGCCACATGAAACTCATACCAAACAAACAACAAAACAGCAGCAAAGAAAAGCAAGAGAGTAGTTGTGAGTTTTGTTTATGTGAGGAGAAGAGTGGGGGGGGGGTAGCATGTGCATATTTGAGCTAGTCTGTTTTCCATTTTATTTGATAACATCAAGCATAAAATGCTCCTTAGTCTGGGTGATCTGTTGGGATGCACAGAAGGCATTTAATGATTCACAAACAATGCTTTTTTGTTTTTTTTTAAAAGCAGGATTTCTTGTAACCCTGGATGGCCTTGAACTTGCCATAGTTAAAGATGACTATAGACTTGTGATCTACCTTCCAAATGCTAGAACTATAGGTGTGGGTCACCATATCTTTTTCCTTTTTCTTCTGCTCCTTCTCCTTCTCCTCCTTCTTCTTCTTTGCCATGTTGGGGATTGAATTTAGGGCTGGATACATGCTAGGCAGTCAGTCACCCTGTCAACTGAGCTACAACCCCAGCCCCATGAACAGTTTTAAAGGTGCCAGAAAATCCAGAATTGGAGTCAAGTACACAAATAAGGGTCAGACAAAGGGCCATAAGGAAGTTGGACTGGCTGAACCAGGGGGGGAAAAATGGCTGAGGAACGATTGTATTCATATTTCTACAAAGAGGATTTTCCAGCAGATGAAACAAGAGAAACTGATATTTCAGCAGGATGTCTGGAGGATATAGGACACTGGAGCAAGCTGAGATCCCACTTTTAGGGAGAAACTTTGCTTACTCCAAGGGTAGAGTACCCTCTTAGCCTTCTGATATGGTGCCTTATTGATTGGGTCATGACCTTTAGTGGCTCCTCCTGTTATATTATTATGACATTGTAGGATTACGGGCCTAGGGACATCCTGGCTTCCTTGCGGGGATTAACGGTAGGTTGATACACGTGAGAGATGGAGAAAGGGGAAATGGAACATTGGGTTCTGCCTCAAAGTTGCTCAGTAGAGATGCCTGTAGTGGGTGATTCATCGTTACAGGTTAAGAAGGTGCCCAGGATGCCGGGCGGTGGTGGTGCACGCCTTTAAGCCCAGCACTTGGGAGGCAGAGGCAGGTGGATTTCTGAGTTCGAGGCCAGCCTGAGTTAGTTCCAGGACAGCCAGGACTATACAGAGAAACCCTGTCTCAAAAAACCAAAAAAAAAAAAAAAAAAAGAAAAAAGAAGGTGCCCAGGAAACCAGCTCTTAGAACAGAGTACCTGGTTGCTCTGCCCTTTTGCCCTGCCCAGCATGCAGTTTGTGCATGCCCAACAGGAGGCCCCTGCTTGAGCCCTGCAGTGTTTGTCTTGTGATGACACCATGCCTGCTCAGCCAATAAGCTCAGTCACTGCACGGGAACACTAAGAAAGAGAAGGCAGTCTTAGCTTCTGGACTAAGGCTGAGAGAACTGGCCACCTCAAGGGTATTTACACTGCCTCCCCGAGAGGACTGAGCTGTTTGGCTCCCTTGACACAGGAGGCACGTGGAGTGAGCTCTTGGCGTTTATCTTGCCTTCACCCCGAGCAGCTGCGTGGTTCTGGGCTGGTTATATTTGACTGTTAAGAGTCCTCAATTTGCTCCTTTCCCAGAAGTATTTTTGTTGTGGTTGTTTTGTGGTTTGTACACTTAGGGTTAGCCCAGATGCAAGCAGGTCCTGTAGCTTTCTAGGTTCTTCAGAGAGATCTGCTCAGGCGGCTCTTCTCTTTCTGAGCCTAGCTAATGGACAAGGAGGGCTCTGACCTTTGGCCTGTTTCTCTTTCTGAGCCTAGCTAATGGACAAGGAGGGCTCTGACCTTTGGCCTGTTCCTGACTCTTAGACTCCTTTCCCTAGAGAGTGGGGAGGAGGGTGAGGACGCCCTGTGCTGCAAAACCCATCTCTACACTTGTCCCTACACTTTCTTCTAACGTAGACTGGAGAAAATATAAATTATGGTGGAGGGTGCAGGGGTGGTCAGAGCAGCCGGTGTGGGGGACAGAAGTGAGGTAAACAGGCAGCAAATATTAGTAAGGTGACCCAGACTAAGCATAAACGGACAAAAGTGGCTCCTTCAGAGGAGCCAGGAGCGTTCCAGCCTCCAGGAACTCCTCCATGGCACTTAGTGACATCCTGTTATCTGTGTAGGGCTTGAATCATGCTGGGTGGATGGACTGTCCACAGCATTCTAAGCATGCCCAGGCAGGTAAGACAGAATGGTCCCTATGCAGGACTGTGATGCCAAGACCTAGGTAGAAACAAAATCCAGAATGGTTAGTCCTACACATGGAGTAAAAGCTGAGGTGCGGGTGGTCAGCATTTGCTCTGTGGTGAGGAATGATTTCTTTTTCTTTTTTTTTTTTCTGTTTTTCGGGGTTTCTCTGTGTAGCCCGGGCTGTCCTGGAACTCACTCTGTAGACCAGGCTGGCCTCGAACTCAGAAATCCGCCTGCCTCTGCCTCCCAAGTGCTGCTGGGATTAAAGGCGTGTGCCACCACAGCCCAGATATATACATACATACATACATACATATATATATATATATATATATATATATATATATATATATATAAAATTAATGTTAACTTCTTTTTTTAATTAATTAATTTATTTATTTTATGTATATGAGTACACCATTGCTCTCTTCAGACACACCAGAAGAGGGCATCAGACCCCATTGCAGATGTTTGTGAGCCACCATGTGGTTGCTGGGAATTGAACTCAGGAACTCTGGAAGAGCAGTCGGTGCTCTTAACCACTGAGCCATCTCCCTGCCCGGGGGAATGATTTCTAAAGGGCTTGTCAAAGATGAAGTGCAGAGTCGATGCTCTGGGTTCTGGACGGACAGAGCCAGGCTGTTTGAAGGCTAGGCTTTGCTGAGGTGAGTGCCCTGAGAGATATAGCCTGAGAGATGGACTTTGAAGCCTAAGCAGGAGGGGAAAGAAATGAAGTTCTGACCTTCCTCACATCTCCTGCCTGCTCAAATCCCAGGTCTTCAGGCACGATGGAGGACAAGCGGAACATCCAGATCATCGAGTGGGAGCACCTGGACAAGAAGAAGTTCTATGTGTTTGGTGTAGCTATGACAATGATGATCAGGGTCAGCGTGTACCCGTTCACCCTCATCCGCACCCGGCTGCAGGTCCAGAAGGGCAAGAGCCTCTACCATGGGACCTTCGATGCCTTTGTCAAGATCCTGCGAGCAGATGGAGTGGCGGGTCTCTACCGGGGCTTCCTGGTCAACACCTTCACACTCATCTCTGGCCAGTGCTATGTCACCACTTACGAGCTTACCCGGAAATTTGTAGCTGACTACAGCCAGAGTAACACAGTCAAATCACTGGTAGCCGGTGGCTCTGCCTCCCTCGTGGCCCAGAGTATCACGGTGCCCATCGATGTTGTCTCCCAGCATCTGATGATGCAGCGCAAGGGTGAGAAAATGGGTCGCTTCCAAGTGCGAGGCAACCTAGAGGGACAAGGGCTGATTGCCTTTGGCCAAACTAAGGACATCATCAGGCAGATCCTGCGGGCTGATGGCCTTCGAGGCTTCTACCGAGGCTATGTGGCCTCACTGCTAACATATATCCCAAACAGTGCTGTATGGTGGCCCTTTTACCACTTCTATGCAGGTAAGCAGGGGCTGGGAAGGAGAGCACTTACTGATGGGGCGGGAATACTGTTGCTTCTGGCTGTTTTTAGAGTAGAGATGAGCAGAGAGGGGACCAGATCAGCGCCACTGAGTGTTGGGATCACAGGTGCATGCCCCCCCGCTGAGCCCAGCTGAACTCTAGTTTTGCTAGCCCTGTTTCTTCTCCTTAGTACAGTATTTCATCTAGACTTTGTGGTAAAACTAAATCCTGTGCCGTCACTCCGACCCTTTGGAAGTATACTCTGTCAATCAGTTTTTGTTCTTGTGGTTTTGTGAGACAGGGTCTCTCCGTTTAACCTAGAGTGGCTTTGAACTCACTGTAGTCCAGTGTAACCTAGAACTAACACCAATGCTTCTGCTCTGTAAGCACTAGGATTACCTCAGCAAACACTTTGTAGGAAGGCTGGGGGTTTAGCTCAGTTGAGAAGAGCTTGGCCAGCATGCACAAGGCCGAAGGGGTCATCCCTAGCACTGCAGAAAAGCCATATTAAGACTAAAGCGAGCACCCAGGAAGGCATTTCCTCCAGAGGCTGCCTTTGACCTCTGCCCTCACTTGATTTCGTGAATACTTAAAAGAGTTATGTTTCCCTTATGCCCACATTCTGCAGCATTGCCAGCCAACCCTGTCCAGAGGTCTCGGCTGACAATCTGACTGTGGGCCTCTGTGCACCAGAAGGCCCTATCCGCCCTACTAGGGATGGAACACAAGGCCTCACGCACCCACCCATACACACAGGCAGCTGCTTGGCCATTGAGCTGCATCACCAGCCATTTAAAAATTAAATATTGCTATTGTTTTTAAAGTCTTATTCTACAGTCCTGGCTAGCCTGAAACTCAGTATGTAGCTCAGGCTGGCCTTAAACTCTGAGCAGTTTTCTTGCTTCAGCCTCTCCAAGTACTAGGATATAAGTGTGGACGCCCAGATGAAGTTTTATTTTGAGGTAGGGTCCTGCCTACATTTCCTCGCTGCTGGAGTTCTAGGCTCACACCGCCACACTCAGTGTGTTGGTTTGTCTCTGAGATTGGCACTCAGTTGACTCAGGCTGGCCTTAAACTACGCATCCTGCTGCCTCTGCCCACCTGATGCTCAGGTTCCGGCCATGCGCCCATCACCCAGGGCTTTTCTATTAGAGTCAGGATTCATTTAACCCAGTCTGGCCTTAAGCTTGCTCTGTAGACAAGAGAGACTTCAAACTCCTGATTCTCCTACCTCTTCCTTCCCTCCAAGGGCTGGGGTGACAGGCAGAATGTCCAGCTTGTTTGTGACATAGAGTCTTTCACAGTGTATCCGACTCAAGTCTCCAACTCAGTGTGTACTTGAAGATGCCTTTTCTCCTCTCTGTCTCCATCTCTGTCCATCTGTCTCTGTCTCTCTCTGAGATAGGGTCTCACTGTGTAGCCCTAACTTGCCTGCTATATGGGCCAGGCTGCTTGACGTTGGATTTCTAATCCTCCTTCCTCCGCCCCCTGAGCACTGGGATTAAAGGCTTGCACCATGTCTGGTTTATGCAGTGCCAAGGATCAGATCCAGTATGTGAGCTATGCTAGGTAAGCCCTATCAACAGAGCCACATCCTTAGCCCCCCACCCCTTTATACTTTTGAGACATCTCACTAAGCAACTAGGTTGGACTTGAACTTGTTCTGTAGTCCACGCAAGCCCTCAATTTATGATCCACCTGCTTCTGTTGCCCAAGAGCCCAGATTACATGTGTGTAAAGTAATTCCTGGGGGGTTTTCTATGCCCTTTTGTTCTCAAATAATTGCTGGGAGTCTCTATGCTCATTGTAGCCCCCGAATAAAGACACAAACACCTGGTATTTTTATTAACAAGAGGCAAGCCTAAGCTGGGCAGGTTCTGAGCTGTTCTAACTTGACTAGGCTGCTAATTCCCAGACAATGCCCATTACTTGCCATCCTGGTCTTGCCCTGGCTTGCTCGGGTCCATGTGTGTCCTCATGGCTGCTCTCTTATTGTGTGATTTCATGTCGAATTCTGCACATGGTCTCCCATACCTTCTTCTCCTCCTGGTCCTTCTTCTCTCTGGGGCCCCCTCATTGGGATCAGAAGTCTCACCCTACTCTCTTCTGTCCAGCTAATTGCCAATCAGCTCTTTATTAAACCAAACAACCTTTTTGCCCCAGGAAAGTGGCAGCTTGCAGGAGCGGGGCCAGCGCATACAGGCCCAGAAAACAGTGCAGGTCTCAATGCTGCAGCCTAATGACTGTCAAATGTCTCCTTCAGGAGAAAAAGGGTACCCACAAGGCAAATGCCAGGTCACCCTGTTTCTGTTGACATGCTTGACTCTGGGGAGGAACACAGTTAGGAACTGGGGAAGAGGTGGCTCCAGCAGGCTTACAGAATTCTCCATGTCAGCTGGAACTTTGAAGCTGTGACTTCTGCCCTGCCAACCTTCTTGCTACCTCTCTAGTCGCTACTTACCTAGCCTCAGACTACCAAAACTAAGCACATGAGAAAGAATTGGTAAGGACCAGTGACTGACCAGGAAACTGAGAAGAGATCTTTGAGGTGATGAGTCTGTGTGACCTCCCGTCTTAGGGGAAAGCCTGCGTTTGTGTAGTGTTCTCCAGGTCCTTGGTCACTCAGCTCCAGTCTCACCCACTGCTCCTTCCAGTTGCTCTGTTCTAAGTCACTGGTCTTGCTTCCCCGGCACCCCGCAGGCATGCCTCTGCCTCAGTGCTTTTGATAAATGTTATCCTGTGCTTGGGAAGCTCTTTGCCTGGGGATACATGGCTTATATTTGCACCATCAGGTCGTTTCTGAACTTCACTTTCCAGGAAGCACCATAACTGCTTTGTTGAAAATCACAACTTGCTTCACCTCTCCCTGTGCCGGGTGTTCCTGGCCCCCTTCCGTTCTCATTTTCCCTTAGCTCCAGTACGCCCCTCTGACACAGTGATGTGCCCCTCTGACACGGTGATGTGCGTTGCTTCTTGTCCCCTCCTCTCTTACTAGAATGTGCACTTTGTGAGGGCAGAGGTCTGAGGCCCTCGGGACCCAGGGTGGCTCACTGAATCTTTGCTGACTAAATGAATGAACTCTTGTCTTTTACTTCAAGAGAGAGTAAAGCAGAGACTCTCCACAGGCACACTTCCCAGTGGCACTGTGAGAAAACAGGCTGTGGTGCCTGGAATCCCACAGTCATTAACACTTTGAAATCCAAGTTTCTCCTTCTTCTCTCATGCTAGTAACTGAGCCTCGGGACTCACATGGGCTAAGCAGGTGCTGTGTCACTGAGCTACACCCCTAGTCCTTTTATATTTGACTTTTTGTTGCCCTTCTTATTTTGTAAGACATGGCTGGCCTTATAAAAATTACAAGCATGTACCACTATGCCTGGCTTTCGCTCTTTTTAAAAATTTAAACAGAATATCATGTATCTCTTGAAGTCACTGTGTAGCTGATGATAACCTTCGCCTTCTTTTTTTTATTTTTTTTATTTTTGGTTTTTTGAGACAGGGTCTCTCTGTGTAGCCCTGGCTGTCCTGGAACTCACTCTGTAGACCAGGCTGGCCTCGAACTCAGAAATCCTCCTGGGATTAAAGGTGTGTGCCACCACTGCCCAGCAACCTTGACCTTCTTATCCCTGTGTCTACTTCCAGAGTGCTGGGATTGTGCCACGGTGCCTGGTTTTCTGTGTTGGAGTTCAAATCCAGAGCTCCGTGCATGCTGGACTCTGTGCCTTCTCAGCTCCATGTATGCTAAGAGAGCACCTTGCTAACTGAACCCCTTTATTTTCTTTTCTCTTTTTTAAAAAATGTATCTGAGTGCACTGTAGCTGTCTTCATACACACTGGAAGAGGCCATCTGATCCCATTACAGATGGTTGTGAGCCACCATGTGGTTACTGGGAATTGAACTCAGGACCTCTAGAAGAGCACCCAGTGCTCTTAACCACTGAGCCATCTCTCCAGCCCCTGCCCCCTTTATTTTCTTGAGACAGTGTCATATAGTCTGTTGGCCTGGAAGTCACTGTGTAGCTGAAGATAACCGTAGACTCCCAACCCTACCTTCATCTTTCAAACACATCACCATGCCTGACCGAGTTGCTTGCTTGTCTTGTTTTTTGAGATAGGTTTCTCTGTTATAGCCCTGGCTGTCCTGAAACTAGCATTGAAATCAGGGATCTGCCATCCCTGGAATTAAAGCCATGCTTCATCGCACCCAGCCGTTTTTCTTTCTTGGTTTAATCTGGTTTATTATAAGACTTCCTTTTAACATTGATTGCTTTTATTTGTAAAAATATGTACATAGTCCAAAATTCCCAGTGAATTTTGAAGGGCTAGGATTGTGGCTGAATTGGTTGAGTGTTTGCCTGGCACACATTGAATCCCTGGGAGCCGTCTCCAGCAGCGTGTGGTCCAGCTGTGACACCACGAGTCTATAATCCCTGCACTTTGTGGATGTCAGGAGAGTCAGGGCTCGTCCTCTGGTACATACTGAGTTCTAGGCCAGCCTGGGCTACACAACACCTTGCCTTTCCCCAACCCCCTAGAAGTAAAAATCTTTGAAAAGGTATGCAGAATGCAGTGAACAGCCATCCTACCCATGGCCATCACTCAGTCTCTTCCATAGAGACTACTGTATCCTTTTTAAATGGATACAACCAGAATGACTTCTGTAAAGCTCCAGAGATATGTAATATGCATCTCTAGTGGATGCAGGTAGAAGCAGAAAGAGAAAGTTTTAAGTGAAAAGGTTCAAAGGGCAGAGGGCTCATCTCTGATGTTCAGACGTTGAGGGCAGATGGGTGGTACCTCGTATCTTGAGGCGTTGTCTTTCCCTGGATTCCAGAGCAGCTGTCGCGCCTGTGCCCTCAGGAGTGCCCTCACATTGTCTTTCAAGCCATCTCTGGGCCCCTGGCTGCAGCCACTGCCTCCATCCTCACCAATCCCATGGATGTCATCAGAACCCGTGTGCAGGTAATACCGGCCTCCTCTCTACCCTTGACTCAGAGAAGCCATTAGAAGCAAGACCTGTAGGCCTCCAGTGTCCCTGTGACCTCAGTGTGCCATGACCCTGGTGTTTAGTCAGCCCTGTGATCATCCAAGCCTTATCCCTGTCCTTATCTCTGTAGATACCAGCTGAGCGCTCGGAAGTGTCTAGCTTGGTTTTACTTGCTCTGTCTGTCTTGCATAACTACCCATTTGCATGCCCAGCCTCAGGAGCTCTTACTGCTTTCTTCTGGCCTTCAGCTGGAATCTGTTCCATACTCTATTAGCCTAGGCCCTAAGCCACCCTTCCTCACCTTGCAGGCTTGTGGTGATTAGACTTATTGATTTCATAGTAATTTCAGATGTCTCTGATTTTTCCATTAAGCTATGAATCCATAGGGAATGAGAGAGTGAACTCAGAGAGGTGGTCTCTAAAGAAGTGATCTGGGAGTAGGGAGGAAAAGGAGGGACAGTTGAGGACAATGGAAAACGAGAGAGACACAGATCTCTTTTCCTTTCTGTGGTTTTATTCCATTTCTTTACTGTGTGTGCGTGAGATGGACATGGTCTTAGCAGAAGCTAGGAGAAAGGAGAAAGCTTGGGTGAGTTCTTGCCTTGTACTGTGTGGGCTCTGGGAACCAAACTCAGGTTTGCTGGTCCTTTTGTTTGTTTGTTTTTTTCAACCCTTAAAATCAGGTTCTCATGTATCCCAGGCTGGATACGTGTAAGTAGCTTCAAGGAGAGCCTCAGCCTCCTGACCCTCCTGTCCCTCTGGAGAAGTGGGTTAGACTCATGCACAGTCACGCCTGCTTTAGAGGCACTGGACTTTTCAGCAAACACTGAACCAACTGAGCTCCCCAGGTTTTTTGTTTGTTTGTTTGTTTTTTGTTTTGGATTTTTTAATTTTAATTTTATTTTTTGGTTTGTTTTTGAGACAGGGTGTCATGTAGTCTAGTCTGGTGTCAAAGCTGCTGTTGTAGCTAATGCTGGCCTTGAATTCCTGACCTTCCTAAGGTCTGGGATCACAGGGAGATGCCTGGTATTTGGTCTTCTGTTGTTTTTGAGACAAAGACTCACACATAGTTCAGCAAGGCTCAAACTCGCTGTGTAGCTGAGGAGGACCTTGAACTCTTGATTCTGCTGCCTCTGCCCTCCACAGAGTGATTAAAGGTGCATGTCACCATGCCAACTAAGAAACTTTCATGGGTTTTGTTTGCTTTGTTTTTTGGTGTGTGTGTATGTGCATGTGCACTGTAGTGTACATGTGGAGGTCAGAGGTTAACTTGCAGTAGTTGGTTTCTCTCTATCATTGGGCTTTAGGGCATTGAACTCAGGCTTGATTGTAAACACTGAATTACACTGCTAGCCTGACAGACTCTTTTAAAATAGGTTTCACAGGTTGTACTGTGTAGACTCATCCAAAACCCTGACAACTCTTGGTGCTGCCCAGAAATTGTAGTCCTTTCTAATGTCAGCTCTGAAGACAGTTAGCACCAAAAAATACAATCTAAATATGGCACATTATATGCAAAGGGTAGGTTTTGCTGTATCAAGTCTTAGATATACAGCAAGGGGGCCTCTTAATGTGTAACTAGGGTAACTTAGGAAGAAAGGTGGAGAAACAAGAGAAATGGGAGGGGTCCCGGGTATGGTGAGGACAGGAATAAAGAAAAGGAACCTTAGCAGGTTGGAATAAAGTTGATTTGGGGGGCCACTAGAGTGTCCAAATAGAGGGACAAGAGATAGAGGCATTTTTGTCCCTAGGAAAAGGTACTTCTTTCAATGTTTGAAAGTCAATACTCTGGCACCTGGTTGGGTCTTCCAGTGTTTTTACTGTGGAGAATCAGGGTTGGCTCATTCTTTACCCTTACCTGAGTGTCTTAGGAGCCAGCCCTAGGGACTGCCTTAAAGATCTCTGCTTTAAGGAGCTTTTAGGCCATAGGCTTGGGCTAAGCTGAACATGCCCTTGCAAGGACTAAGGGAGGTTATGGAAGCAGAGTGGTCAGATGTCAGAGGGGAAGACGAGGTTTGGAGGAGGTGCTGAAGAAGGCAGGGCAGAGCAGGGAGCTGTGGTAGACGGAGCTGGTATCATCTCATAAAGGCTGCAGTTGACAGGGAGGTCTGAATAAAGAATCCCTTGCCTTGTCTTGGCACAGGTGCTCTGATATGGGCTCTGTAGTTGTGATTTGGGAGCAGGGGAAGAAGGTAGGACTCTGAGGAAAAAGGGAAGAGATCCTTGTCCTGGCTACTGCATGTGTGACCAACAAAAACAGGAGGCTTCTAGCCCCAAAGCCTGGAGAGACTGAGGTGGCCAGAGCCAGCCATGGCTGGGCAGGGCTGCTTGAGGGCCTCACTGGGGAATGAATGCAGCCTCCCAGGGTCAGAGACGCACCTAGTCTTTACAGCTGAAGAGCTTGCCTGAGGGCAGTGGTAGCTGGCACCTAGTGAGCACCGTCTTGCCAGGCAGAACTATTGGCAGTCTGTTGTTTGAGACAGGGTTTCATCTTGTACCTCTGACTGGCCTGGAACTCACTATATCGACCAGCTGGCCTGGAATTTATAGAGATCCTCCTGCCTCTGCCTCTCCAGTGCTGGGATTAAAGATGTGTGACACCATGCCTGGCTCTGTTGTTGGCACTGTAACAACCTCGTGACACAGGGACTCTCTCTCTCTTTTTTTAAATGTATATGAATGAGTATAATGTAGCTGCCTTCAGACACACCAGAAGAGGGCATTGCATCCCATTACAGATGGTTGTGAGCAATGTGGTTGCTGGGAATTGAACTCAGGTCCTCTGGAAGAGCAACACTCTTAACCTCTGAGCCATCTCTCCAGCCCAGGCATAGGGACTATCACCGTTTTCTATTTTAGAAAACTGGGGTAGGAAAGGTTAAGCCCACCCAGATAGTCTGTCACTAGAACTTAGAGGAACTCACTGCTGTCTCGGGAAGCAGAGGCTAGCCCTTGGAGTCTCCCTTGAGCCTGAAGTGCTGTTGAGGGTGTGCTGAGCAGTGGTGGCAGCAGACAGTCAGTGGCTCTTCACTGTGGTGACTTTTCCAGGTTGAAGGCAAGAGCTCCATCATCCTGACCTTCAGACAGCTGATGGCGGAAGAGGGGCCTTGGGGCCTCATGAAGGGCCTCTCAGCCCGAATCATCTCTGCTACACCCTCCACCATTGTCATCGTGGTGGGCTACGAGAGCCTGAAGAAGCTCAGCCTGCGGCCCGAGCTGGTGGACTCGAGACACTGGTAGTGATCGGTGGATGGAGAGGCTGTGGTTTCACACATTACTCTGAGCCGGGGCAGAGCACGGAGAATGACTACCCCTGTGAATGCCACCACCACCCACCCATCCTGCTCCAGGTGGCCTATCAGGGACAAGAGAAGAGACTTTGGACTGCCCTTGCTGCAGAGGTTCTGTGCCTGGCTTCCCTGATCCCTGTAATTTTATTTCTCCTGCAGATCTGGGCCCCTCACTTGGTCCTTATACTCAGTCATGGCCTGAAGATCAACCGCTACAGGGCCCTGTTAGCCCCTCACCGGTGCCCCTCTCTCTGTCCTTCCTTCAGGCCTGGAGAAGAGCTGCTCATAGTTTGCTTGTCCCCTGCTTCTTCCTCTTGAGTCTTTAGGCCAAGGCTCTAAGTAGCTGCCTGTGATTTATTTTTTTATGCTTGCTTAGTTTAAATTTGGGAGTTGAGTTGTTCGCTGGACTACTCTGCTTTGCCCTGCCTTTGGGGACAAATTGGAGCAGCGCACACTCTGCAGGGCGTTCATCTTCTCTGGGAATTACTAGGAGGGAGAGAGGCTGAGGCGTTAGCGTATGTGTAGTTCAACATCTGTGAATGAGCCAACTAATCCTGATAGCTCAGTTCGCTGTCAGACCCCACTCCTTGGAGAAGTGGAAAACTGTGACACCAACACCAATTCTTTGTCCCTTCCTTGTCCTGTTAGGCCTGGGAACCTACAGATACAATGAGCTGTTGGCCTTCGTTGGCCCAGGTGACTACAGTAGAGGGCACAGTTGTGAGTGGATCAGACTTACTGGAGTACACTGGACTTGGAACACTGCCCTGAAGCCAGGTTGAGAGAGCCATTGGCTTGGATCCAACGATGGGATATATGTTCCTCACTTATATCTCCTCAGGCCAGCTGAGCCAAGCCCAGAGGCGCCATGGAGGTTCTGAGCCCTAGGCTGCAATGCCACAGGCATACCTGTCACTCAGATGAATAGCAACAGGTATCTCACAGTGGGTCTCTGGAATATGAACTGTCCTTGTTTTTCTTGTCCTTGGTTGTGAAGTGTCATCCCAGTCATGGTACCCTGTGCTGGCAACAGAAAAATAAAAGAACAGTCAGGAAGGCTCCCAAGGCCAGGTCCACCTGGTTACCAGCCACATACTGCCAAAACCGTTGATGCTCCCTCCACTCAGGAGCTCGCCCTTCCCTGCCTCCACTGAGCCTGTGTTGGCAGGAGAGAGGCCCAGAGTGAAGAATGGGAGGAATCTTGCTGTTTGGCCTAGGTGATGCTTTCAACCGTATCAGTGGCCCTATGCCTTGGGAAATGCCATGGTGCCAATTTGGAAGGTGCTAGCTAACTGAAGCCGCCATGTTTCTCATGGCTGCCACATTCTTCCATCCTGACTGGACCCGGTCTCTGTACTTACCTGTTCTACTCGTTGTAGTCTAGATTTGTTTCCTTCTGAGTCCTCTTCTTTTATTTGTCTCATTCTGGTTGTTTTTGAGACAGAGTCTTATATATCCCAGGCTGGGTTTGAATTCACTATGTAGCAGAGGATAGCCTCGAACTCTTGATCTTCCTCCACTTCCTGAGTTCCAGGTTCACAGGACACCACCAGGCCCCACTTCCTGCACTTTATTGAGAGAGCCCTTCAATCTTGCCCATAGTCAAGGGTGGAACCCACAGATTTTAAATCCTTCTGCTCCTTACCTCTACCTTAAGAGCTACCAACACAACGGAGCCAGGGCTCCTCAAGCTTTTCTTATCAAGACCTTTGTGTCTGGATATCTCTCAGCTCTTCTTTGGTCTTTGCTTACCAGGGCAGAGGATGGACATAAGGTACCTGCCTTTCATGCCTTAGGTTACTTCTTCCCGACTTGATTTTCTTGTCCGGTGTTTAAGCCTCCCCCTTTCTTGTCCTTTCTCCCTTTCCTTCTTTCCCCTTCTGTTTGAAAGGTCTATGGATGTAATGGTAAAGACATCCCTGTTGGGACCCCTACTTTCCCAAGGTCAGGGACTAGGATTGGCCTTGGTGAAGATGGTCCAGTGGGCGGCCATTTTTCCAAAACTGGAGACCAAAACAACCAGAAATTTTGACCCGTTGGTCCATAACACAAATTAGAAACTCGGCAAGACAGGAAGGCTGGATGGAGGCACATGGGAAAGAAAATGCACATTCAGCATTAGATAGAAATGGACTCTTGAGGATATTAGCTGCGAATATTCACTGTTGCACTGTATGAAGTCTTTGAAATGTAATTAAAAGTTTTTATTGAGCCCCTAAACTTCGGCTTTTGGGTTTTTTTCTTGTTTTGTCTTTCCCCGAGCTGAGACCGAACCGTCCGAGGCACTACTGGTCTCTGGCGACTGCCCCGCCCCATCCGGCTCAGTGACGGGCATTCCTTGGCCTCCAATCGGAGGTCCTGTTGGGAGGAGCTGCGGGACCAGTTCATTTTGGCGGTTCAATTTCAACATGGCTGAGGCGAGACAAGATAATGAGGCTGCGGAGAAGGGGCCCGAGGGCTCATCCCCGGAAGCTGAGCCAGGTGACACGACCATCTCCAGGGTGAAACTTCTTGACACCATAGTAGACACTTTCCTCCAGAAACTAGTCGCCGACAGGAGGTAGGTGGGGACCAATGGGAGGAGGCGGCGGGAGGGTTTGTCTCCGGGATCGTAAATCCCGCGAGATCCTCTTGGCTCGGTCACGTGGGGCGGCCTGCGGTTGTGCAGGGCGCCACCGCTGAAGCGTTTCCGCGCGTCCTCTGCTGGCTCAGGCTGCTGAGGACGCGAGGAAAGGCGCGGAGTTGCAGTTAGCTCTCTTCTCCACCTTCCCGCAAGGCAGCCTTGGGACAGCTGACGTCCTTTCCTGGAGGTCATCTGCTTACCTAGGCCTAACGCCAGGGCGCCCTGTGGGCACAGCACTGTTGGCTGGAGTGGAAAGGCGCGCGAGGTCCCGAGCACTAAATCTGTAGTCATAAGGAGAAGCTTTTTGCTCTTTCGATATCGGACAGTTTTAAAGGAAAGTTTTGATCCTGTACTGGCCTGGTGTGGTCTGTCAGGACGAGAGCCGCGATTCTATGACAACAATCCCGCCAGGATATTGAATCCTGCCTGTGATGTTGGAACACCCAGACATCTCCACAATGTGGTCTCAGTGATTTCCGTTTGCCAGGCTCGGTAGCCCACTATTATAATCCCACTTCCTCGGGAGGTGGAGGCAGGAGGATTGTGAGTTTGAGAACAGCCTGTCCAATTCAACCAGACCCTATCTCAAAATTAAAAAGAGGGTTAGGGGTACAGCTCAGTGGTCTGGTTCGTTCTTCAATCTGGTGGTTAGGGGAGAGATTTGGAGAAGAACAACGTAACATTTTTTAAAATGTTAATTGGTCATGTTTATGTCTGGGTATTTTGCCGGCACGTATGTATTTGCACCACGTACATGTTTAATAACCCCAGAGATTATAATAGAGTGTCGGATCCCCTGAAAGTGGAGTTACAGATGGATGTGAACCATGTGGGTACGCTGGAAGATCAACTAGTGCTCTTACCACTGAGCCCTGAACACTCCTGGTTTTGAGGCCTGGCCCACTACCTGTAAGGACAGCCACCCTGGAGGCTGAGGGACCCTGGATAACAGTGAAATGCCGCAAAGAGACCATCTCTTTTTGCAGTCTGGACGTCTTGGCTTCCTGTTGAGTATCTGTTTGTATTTCTCTACCGGGCATTGAACCTAGAGCCTCCGAGTGCTCAGCAGGTGCTCCTCGGCTGAGGTGCATTACCAACCCTTTTTTTTTTTTTTTTCTCGAGACAGGGTTTCTCTGTGTAGCCCTGGCTGTCCTGGAACTCACTCTGTAGACCAAGCTAGCCTCGAACTCAGAAATCCGCCTGCCTCTGCCTCCCAAGTGCTGGGATTAAAGGCGTGCACCACCACTGCCCGGATTACATAAGTCTTAAAAACATTTTTTTTTTTTTTTAACTTTTTGAGACAGGGTCTCAGTAAGTTGTCAGTAGGCTTAACTTGGATGGATAATGCAGACTCAGCCTCTCCAGTGGTCGATGACAGGCCCACAGCACCACACCTGCTTCTGCATGGACCTGTGATCTGGCTCCTTAGTTACCCCCTAACACATACCTTCCTGCCTTCTCTGTATTTGGTGCTGTAGATATATAAAGCAACCAAGTTACTATTCAGTGGGTAGCATACAATAAACAAGATAACCACAGGGTATGGTAGCTAGCATAATGAACACAGATAAGAAAATAAATGAAAAACTAAAGGTAGGGCTGGAGAGATGGCTCAGCGGTTAAGAACACTGACTGCTCTTCCAGAGGTCCTGAGTTCAGTTTCCAGCAACCACATGGTGTCTCCCAACCATCTATAATGGGATCTGATGCCCTCATCTGGGGTGCCTGAAGACAGCTACAGTGTACTCATATAAAATAATTTTTTTTTTTTTGAGATAGGGTTTCTCTGTATTGTCCTGGAACTCACTCTGTAGACCAGGCTGGCCTCAAATTCAGAAATCCGCCTGCCTCTGCCTCCCAAGTGCTGGGATTAAAGGCGTGCGCCACCACTGCCTGGCTTAAACAATTTTTTAAAAACAACAACCAAGTTAATGGGCAGGTAACCTGGTACAGAATCCTAGTGTGGATGGAGGGAGCGACTCTATGATGTAAAGTTTGAAAGATGGGAAGGAACGAGCTTTTTGAAAAAAAAAATTATAAGTTTATGTGTCCAGGCCCTGCGGTGGACAGATCTCCGTGGTAGACGTATTCTTGGCTAGACTATAGTGATCAGAGGGAGAGTAAATCAGGAGAGGCTAACTTCCTCAGTTAGAGCCCAGTTTTGCATTGATAATTTTTTAAAGACTTGTTTTTCACAGGTGTGAGTGGTTTGCCCTTATGTGCATGTGTGCAGGCCACATGTGTTCCTAGTGCCCTCAGAGGCCAGAGAGGGTCTTAGATGTCCTGGAACTGGAGTTACAGTAAGCCACCACGTTGGTTCTGGGAACCAAACCTGGGTCCTCTGCAAGAGCAACCGGTGTCCTTAACAGCTGAGCCATCTCTCCAGCCCCACCCCTGGCCCCCCACTGCATTTTGTTTGTTTGGTTGGTTGGTTGATTTTTCGAGACAGGGTTTCTCTGTATAGCCCTGGCTGTCCTGGAACTCACTCTGTAGACCAGGCTGGCCTTGAACTCAGAAATCCACCTGCCTCTGCCTCCCAAGTGCTGGGATTAAAGGCGTCCACTGCAGTTTTATAAAAGTCATCATACATTCACTGTTTCCAACCAATATCCCAAACTCTGGTCTTTGCAAAGATCTGCTTGTTGACTGCAGGCCTCAAGGTGTTCACAATACAAATATCATTGCTGGTGATAGTGGCAAAGCTGTTAGTTTCTGGATATACAGCAGTTACAGAGACCACAAGGCTCCTGCCCTGCTGGAGTAGACATGGTATTAATATAAAGAAAAGCTCAAGGCCTGACATGGTGATTAGTAGATGCTTGTAATCCCAGCAACTTAGGGACCAGAGGCAGGGAGGAAGAGCAGAAGGGTGATATGGTCCCAGTTAGTTGGAACGACAAACAAGGCTTTCCCATGAAGCAAAGTGTCTTTGACCCCACAGCAGAGTGTACCTGCTGTTGAATCTGGGCATTTCTGTTATAGACCAAGGAGAACTGGAGGAAGAAGTGCTAGTCTGTTTGCAGAGGCATTGTGGGTACCAATCTGAGTGTTCTCAACTTGGCCATTGTAAAAATAAAAGAGATTCGTGGACTGAGATGTTCTTGTGCCTCAGCAGTTGAGGATCTAAAGGAGCTAGCAGAATCCAAAAGCTTCTCAATCTCTAAAGAAAACGATATCTAGCAATGTGTTGTCAGAAAGTCCTAACAACGAATGTCAGAAGCCTGGGACCACAGCACTCAAGACTTAAGAGTCCTGTTACTCCACATGTCCTGTGGTTGTGTTAGCTTTCTGACTCTAATAAGTTACTGAGATGGATGAACAGGAAGGGCTTATTCTTGCTCATGGTTTAGAAGTTTCAGTCTGCAGTTGCTTTGGCTTGTATCAAGCATGGAAGCCACTCAGCTCTTAACAGCCAGCAGGAAGAGGAGGAGCCAGAGTCCTAAGATCCCTCAGCCATCCAGCTCCAGTGAGCTAACTTCCTTCTTCTAGGGTTCCCCCTAGAGGTTCCACCACCTTTGAGAAGCAAAGGCTAGATCATACTTTGAATATATGGACCTTTAGGAGTCATTTGCTTTGTAAACTATGACAGTCCACCTTCCTCACATACAGTAGGGCTCTCAAAGGTATATAGGTCTGGCTTACAGCCATCCTCCCTGGTGCTCACAGCATCGACCAACGCATTTGGATACTCAAGACATGGTTCTGGAATAAATGAGTTCCAGGTCATCTGAATGTCAGACCTGTTTCAACACTTAGTACTAGATGTCTCCATTTGGTGTCCCACAGAGCAGTCAGGCTCTGTGTGGTTTGCTCTCTTCTCTCCTGGGTCCTTTTCTTTCTTTTTTTTTTTTTCTTTTTTTTTTTTTTTTTGGTTTTTCGAGTCAGGGTTTCTCTGTGTAGCCCTGGCTGTCCTGGAACTCACTCTGTAGACCAGGCTGGCCTCGAACTCAGAAATCCACCTGCCTCTGCCTCCCAAGTGCTGGGATTAAAGGCGTGCGCCACCACCGCCCGGCTCCTGCCTGCATTTCTTGTTTCTACTCTTTATTTCCAGCCTCGCCACCACTGTTAGCTTCTGGTGCAGCATCAGAATCCAGTTCCGTCTTCTGGCCTCAGTCCTCAGGGTTGCATCATGCCCTTCCGCTCGGCGTGCTCAGTGGCTTGGGGTTGCCTCACTCCCTGCTTTGCCTGAGCCTGGGTGCAAAGCTTACACCTTGCATGCAATGTGATGTCCTCAGACCTGACACTTTTCCCTGTTACTTCTCACTAGAACATCCTGATGCTCGCAGGCCAAAACTTTACCAATTGAGGTGTTTCTCCAGCCCCTTGACAGTATATTCTTTAAAACCCAGGTTGGTTTTCCCTACAACTCAACAGATTAAAAAAAAAAAAAATTGGGTGTGTGAGGTATATGTGTACAAGGGTGTCTGTGCACACTCAGGTACCAGCGGGACCAGGTGTTCTCCTGTCTCCTCCTTTATAACTCCACCCTGGCTCTGAGCAGGTTCTCGGCTAGGCTGACAGTCAGCAAGCCCCGCAGCCCTCTCTCCGATGCTGGGTTGCAGGTGTGTGTGGATTGTGCCTGGCTATTCTGTGGGTC